TATATATATATATATATAGGCCACGAAGATTTGAGGACAGGGAACAAACGCATAGTTCTGGAAGTAGACGACTTCGATTTGGGAGGACTGATGTGAACAAGTTTCTTAACAAATCGCTCAACCCGTACCCTTCCATTTCACTAATTCCGTTCCCCCTAGTACCCTAATCCAAGGGACAAGAATTTTACCTTCTTGTCTTACCCTGGGTCCTTGGATTAGCTCTACTATTAGATCGTCAAACCATACATCCATACACGCACCTGTTGGGCTGTTCACTACACGGATACGATACTTTTATCATTCAATATTACGACGGTGTGTGACTGAACGAGATATCACCAAATCACACGAACTAAAGTAATTGTGCCCCAGTGCGTCTAGTTCTCCAGGCGTGTATTAAATGGGGAAGAATTACACTTACGAGGGTCAAATGGAAGGGTCAACTAGTTGGCCATTTCTGTCCCTGAGTGCCTCTATTATTTGAGCGCATACTTGAATTCCATTTACCATTTCCCGCTGAACTACTTACACCTAAAAACCAAAGAGCTCGTACCGACGGTGCCATTCTAGCTTCGGTCAAGCTCAAGTACGTACTGCGTGCCATGAGGCTCGGTCGGATGATGGTGAAGCAACGTGAACATTCTGATTTCAGGTCTGATAGAGGTTCTGAACGAACGTGTACACAAAACAGCACACAAACTAAAAAAGCGAAGACAACATTGAAATACTTACCTTTAAATCAAATTGAACAACGATGCCATTTTGGCCACCAATAAACATGCTACTGGTACATTGATGGAGAATCATATCAATAACGGCCGCTGTACCACCATCAAATGCGTGGAACTCCCCAAATTTGACAGACTGCTTAGGGGGCGGCGAGGATGGCGGAGTCACTATGGAATGGGCACCTTCGGAAAGCTCCACAGTCGAGTCTGGTAACGTCGTTTGATGAAAGGAATATTGTGTAGTGGATGGTCCTGACTCCTCAGGTTCTGCTTTCACCATCTTTCGAATTTTGGGCGGTTTCCGTGACAGTGGTTTGACCAGATGTGATGCGACTTGGTCGTCATCAGAGGAGTCACATGAATCGGTTGCATTCGAAAGTACGGCCGATTTAGATGCTATTGGATATTGATCAGTCGAAGAAGTTTGTTTCTCACGTTGGTATCCACCACCGGCCAAAACGCTGCCACCAATCTCCGGAGGTTCGCCTTTGATCAGACAGGCTGAATAGCAAAGTGAAATAAACGGAACACAAGGTTTGACAGGCAGATCAGTCCCGTACTCTTGAGGGAAATGGCGCGGGGGCGGCAGTGGAGTGCATTAGTTTATCGGAAACACAACCATGGATTCCATTCATTCATTAAATAGCACGTTTTAAGTTCATATGCACCAATCGTCCCCCACTTCCGAAAGCAAACTCCATGGATATAGATGAAAAATACAAATGACAGACCACCTCTACTGAAAAAAACAGATGTTAAATATTCGCTTGTGTATACTAATGGAATTTCACTTTTACATACGTACTAACAATTTTCCCCTGCTTTCCCAGGGGCACTGCTTCCGAAGCACTCAAATGGGCGCCTTGCACGGGGTTAGATATAATCTTTTTATCGTTCGTCGTCAACATCATCATCACCAAAAATGGTGCTTACAACGATGCATCAATGCCGTCCTCATCTGGTGTCTATCAAACGCACCTCAGTGAATGCCATGATAGGTTATAGGGTAACTTCGATTATTTCTGAAGTATATCATTATTGAGAAGCATAAGCATATTGAGAAGTAAAAGCAAAGACAGTACATGACGAAACTTGGTGAGTGACGGGTGTCGCCAGCGCCCTGGCACAAATGAGCTAACGTTGGCATTCATTTTTTCGCCATTGTAGACTGGGTAATGGCTATCAACAGACCTCAGCGCTCTTCGCTTCCGAATACTGTTCCCTCGGATCTGTCTAAGCATAAGCGGCTTGCACAATCCGCCACTCAATGAATCAGCTACCGACAGATCCATTTCGGATGTCAATCAATAATCAGCCCAGAAAGATACGTATGGAAAGCGACACAACTAAGCTTTATCGCCTACCGTAGCGTCTCTACAAACAGCCTCTATTACCTGACCTCCAATGTTGAATACAATGCCCAATTGCGGCTTTAGTGAAACATAAAAGCAACAAGAAACATCTATGACAAACGGTACAAAACACTACTCGCATCGAGGAGGTTGAAGTAAAATGAACGAAAAATCGAGCAGACTTGCGACGACCTACTGCAGGTACTTTGTGGTTCAATGCCATACGGAAACCTCAAAGAATCGAGCAACTGCACTGGAGTAAAGATGATGTGTTTATAAAAATTATTTAGTGTACGAGAACCGACATTTTGGCAAAAATTAGTGCAAGAATGACCCAATTCGGTCACTGCAAAAGGAAAACGGTTGAGAAAGTCAGAAGCTGACAGTTAAAGTGAGTTGCCCACCTGGCCGTTTAGGTAATTCAGGCGGGGCTGGAGTTTGTGGGGCAGTCGGCGGCGCGGATTCCACGGTACTTGTGACTGCGTTGACCCCAACTACAGTTGCCTTGGCAGCCGTCTGCCTCAGCATTTGATCAACCTGTTCAAAGGTGAACTGCCAACTATCTGGCGACTGGATAGCTTGCCGAATCAACGCCAATCGCTCAAGATCGATACCATTCGTCGACGACGTACTGTCCAAACCTACCGGATTTGGCAAAAGGTGTGTCTCTCTTGCAGAGGGAGTCAAACTTGGAGGTTGGTGTGCAACATGCACACCTGAAGTGGCGTGATCACCCAGGGACATTACTGTTTGAGATGGCGAGTTGAGTGCTGTGAAGAGAGGAATCAAAGGAAACGTAAGTCATCAGTTTCCTAGACAAATATCCAGTGATATAAAACTTAAGTGCAAGAAGGGGTCGATGCCATATTACCGGTTTGGGAGGAAACTTCTTTAGTTCACGAGAAGCGTACAAGTTAGAAACATGTTACCAGCAACTTCCCTAATAAACGCATTTAAATTACAATGAGGGCACGTAGATGGTTGAAGACGTCTCACTTATTATTTTTTAAAAAGCCTTTTGAAGAGTGTGGACATCAAACGCTTCGCAGTGGCGGCCCATTCAAGGATGATTCACCATTGTGGATCGGAAATCTCTTGACTCCAACAATGTTCTCCCTTGGTCGATCACCACTCCGTTAATTTATTTATGGCCCACCTGGTTTCTTACGGCTTCCACCACCAACTCTGGTAAAAGACCTCTTCAACGCCCACGCCCTTACCACTTCAACATTGCAAAATTCACTATCTGTCGATACAAAACCCGTGTGATAGGAGACACGAACCATGATATGATATGGAGCCACGATTCACTTACAGAAGTTGCCTGAGAAAGCTCTAAAGATAACGACAATTGTAAACATCACACAAGAAAGATGTTTCATTCAGTGCACAGTGGTTTCAGCTAGTGAAACGGCACATGAGACGGAAGCGAGATGAACTAGACATCCGATTTATAAGGTGGAGAATGAGTCTTGGAAGAGACCGCTCGTGGCAGCGATGTCTGTAGGATAGGTGTCAGGACGAGTGGTGTATTCTTCATGCGAGCATTCACCGGTGAACCCCTAGAGTCCGTATTGGAAGTAAAATGAACAAAGAATTTGTTTTGCTAGCCAAATAACTAGCTACATCTTACACCATCCACGCAAGGGTTATGAAACTGACCAACTGATCAATGAATAACAAGCAATATATGGTCAATACTGGGTACCCACTGATTCCCACAGCGGCTGATAGCCATGAGAAATTCAGCAAACCGATATTAACGGTGATGTCAGTAGTAATAATATCAATTTCCTGACTTGCAATCTGGATAGTTAACCAGAATAGATTACCCAGTAACCAGGCTGGGGGTGTGTGTGACACCACTTGATATGCACGAGCGTTCAGAAGAAAATATTAAAATAATGAGTCTGCCGAGAGCCCTTATCTGGTCTTAATGTGAAGCAGGCGGTTAACAGAGAGGGATATTCAGATTTACTTGTAGTAAAAGCACTTGCATCTCCATGTGCAGCATCACCGGGTTGTCTTGCCGGTTGCTTGTCGGCGATGTTGCGGCCGTTGACAGATGAAGATGAACAATTCACTGGTTCGCCAGGCCGACAGGAAGCAGCAACTGGAGCAACCGATGCCACTTGTTTTTCAGAAGATAGACGATCGGGTAAGAGTGAACCAGAAATGACTGGTAACTCGGTAGATAACGAAGGACGCCGACTGACATTCTCATCCTCTGAATCCGACTGGGCCAATCCTACGTTATAAACGTAACAATAAGACATTCTGTTTATCTGTGCAATTTGAGGGTTGAATCAAAAGAAAACGAAGCTTGATAAAGCGTCTTAGAATAAACAACTTCCAATGAAGCTGAAGTTTTTGATTGAATTGTGTGCGACTGAGCATTCGATTCAAGATGGGAGGAGTGTTTAGACGTAAAAACACCAAAGGCACTTCTAACGATATGCGACACCAAGATAAGAAAAAAGGCTGTCAATGGTTTTCACTCGAATAAGGCTAAGGCATCCAAAGAGTGGAACATACCTCGCAGCAGATTCTTCCTACGAGCCTTTAAATCACGCCTTTCTGTTCGAACCTGAAACAGGAACCACACAAAGTACACCTATGAGTACTATGCCGACAAACTGAATAACTCCGTTACCTTGACTGTCAGTGTTGGGGTCCAGTCCGTGTAGTCTCAAGAACGAGGCCAAAGTGCATGGACACCTGCATAAATATATTTAAGTTCCAGTTCGCAACAGACACTGAATGCAATGCCGATGACAGAATTCACCAGCGGCCAAACAGGAGCGCATACATGCGATATAACTCCAACAAAATCGGCTTAAACGCCACTAGTCGACCCAGTATAGGTAGCATGCAAAGATGAATATTACAATGTCGCACAGGTATGCAACGTGGAATGCTTTGTCTACTACCTTGGCACACGCCGCTCAGTAAAAGGATCTTGGGTGTGTGCCGGATTGAATGAGGCTTGGGTGAGCGGAATTCGGCTACAGCGCACCGGAAGACCGCGCCATCATAAAATCACTCAGCATGAGTAGAGCGGGAAATGACCGAAACATGGAACATGGGTATGCTAGCGAAAAGTAACTCATAGAGGGGTCTGATGATCACAAAAAAAAACTCGGGTGTGATAAACCAGGTAACGAACGGTCGGATAAAGTGTGCACAGAACATGGTCTTAATTAAGAGGTTAGTGTGGGAGACCTGAGGGGCATCACTATGTTCTGGCCATTTAAACTACTTAATAAATCCACTCAAGTTAAACTGAAAAGCCCGGCATGCAATCTATTACGCAGAGGTTGTGACCATAATTCTAACCACACATAACGACGTTACTAACTGGAAACCTCAACACCGCCTGACATAAACGATGAATTCATATTTCACCTTATCTAGGCAGATGCAACCACCATGTGGCTTCAACTGAGCATGCACCAACTGAGTCATGCAAACTAGCGGAGAGAGAACTGGTAAAAGCAACAGCACCAGTGAAATATAACAGGACAGGGTGATTCACTTGATTGATGGGTAGGGTTTATTCCTTTTTCTAGAGTGTTGAGAGTTTGAACCAACACGCACCGTTTCCTCTGTATCAGGACAGGGTGTGCGCGTATGTAGTTTACGTGCGCGTTCCCACGTCCCCTTGACAAAAGCACAAGCACAGTGAAACGTTTTAAAGTTTAGTCATGAGTTCAGACTCTCCCGTTTGCTGTGGACAAGGATTTCTGCAACCTAAGTTATCAGGCCACAAGGTGTTGACCCACATTGCTGTCCTCTGATTTGAAACCTTTCACATTACACATCACGTAGCTCCCGATTTACACGACCGATTGGGAGCCACGTAATGGCCCCAAATTTCGCAGTAAAAAATTCTCCTACTGGCCGAAACAGTAAACAGCGCAAAGGGGAAAACGGTATTGAGAAGGTTCCCGTTGAAACAGGGTCAGGAAACAGATTGTACGTTATCAAAACCATTCGTTGTTTGACGATGAGCTGTGTAAAGAAGACTCAAGGTTGAATCTACCAGAAACTAACCTGTACTGTTACCACCAGATAAGTGAATGCCAAGTTCATGAGGCTTACAAAAGGAACTTGATGTGGTCAACTAAACTTCGTAAAGTTAGGTTTGAAGAAACGCTATCAGAGAAGGACGCATTAAATCCACTTTTCTCACTAAAGTCAGTAAGGCATTCTCGAATTGTTTGGTGCTTGAATAAAGAGCTTGCGGTGGAGTCAAGAACACGCCAAGCAGACGTTTCGCCACTGAATCTGAAGAAGGATCTCCCTCTTTGTACAAACGCATATGCTTTTTTAACCATGATAAATTGAAGCTCTTTTGTCCATCTTTCATGTTTTACTGAGCCTGTGTTACGGATGTGTACGCTTATATCTCGTTCCGTGGTAACCGACTGCAGCTGAGCTCGTGTGAAGTAAACGTGCTCACAAAGGAAGTTCGCTTACGACGCAATGACTGAATGACGCCCATTGGCAGAACGTCCAATCGAAACGGGAATTTAGCGGAATATCGGTGAGAGTGAAGGGCAGTTCACTGGATAAGCCCACTTTGACAGTCCGGTTTCGACTTGATGGAAAACGTCACCATATCTCGCCTTCACAATCTGGCGACTGATTGTTTGGGACGTAAAGAAGCCAAAAAACCGAGCTATTTTCTAACGTGACGTGGATGGACAAAGTTGTATGTCACGGACACAAAACGCACAGACGAACAAATTACAGTACGTACGACTGCAGTTATCGGTGACACTAAGTAACACATCTGTAACGCGACCGACCATGATGATGAAGTAAACACCGGATGACTTGACCAGCGCTCAGGAGGCAACACCTGCATGGCTCTTTGAAGCCCATTTCCCCCGGAGGCTAATACTTTGGACCAGTTCTCTTGGGGGAACCCTCCAAAAAGGTCGACTGTTTTACCACTCGGCCTCATGAATATTCGGTTGAAACATCGGACTGCATGATACACAGGCATCATGCACAATTCGTCAGAATCACACATGCAAATAGTTACCACCAACAACCTCCGATGTCTGTAGATACAAAAGGCTTTTGGAAGCTTTTCTAAGCATTTACTTAGTAATTTATTGGCATGAGTTCAGAATTTCTAGGTTTGAGAGTCATTTACCATTTGTCAGCAAAGGCAGGTATGGAGAAATTTAGGAACGTTAAATTTCGACCTTATTCTAGGAAGTGTAGCGGAATAGGAAAAGGGTTTATGAAATACACCAAGGGTTGCGTTCAGGATAAGACTAATAAGGACACGTGGTAAGTTTATCTTTTGACGCAAAGTCCACAGTACGAGAAGTGGTAAGCGATGACTGAGGACAAACGAAAACCAACCCTTGGTTACCACGTCGTTGACAGAACGTGCTACACATCCTGAAAAACGCTATATCAGGACAGATGGGTAAAGGAGGATAAAATGAACTCACTTCGGCTAATGCCGTCTGGAGCTGATGGAGCTGCTTTTCCAAATTCATTTGCTTCACTTTTAAAGTTTCCAGTTTTTGTGATATTTCCAAAGCCTCTTGCATCCTTCTCAGATCTCCGCCTGCTTCATGTGTCTCGGGGACCGTCGGCGAACTGGGAGCACTCGGGACTTTCTCTACAGTGGACGACACATCTGTCATATCAATGCTCAGTGAGTTTGGACGTGAATGTCTATTAGTTGATACCTCACGGCTTGATCGTGCACCCCGGGGAGACCCAGTAGGAGGGAATTTATTCCGCTCAACCATTGGGCGCCCCCTGGTACAGCCAGACAGCCTGTGCTCACCACGGCTATGCAGAGACATGTTTCTTTTTGGAGGGGACAAAGCCGTGGTTTGCCGTTTTGATACATCAGGTCCGACTGTTTCAAGCTGCGAAAAACAATGTGATGGTAAAGAAGACAGGAGAGGTCAACAATTAAACCTCTGAGTAGGTGGAATACTAACCGTATAGGTTAACCGTTAAACGAACTTCTAAGGTTAACGGGAACTTGTAGACAACACTAGGGTTCATCCTGTTTGGGCCCAATGAGTGCTTGCGAGCAGTGGGTTTGCAACAATCTTCTGCCCCTCTAAGGAGAAAATTTTTCTGGTATTGAATTTACACAACCTTGTGTATTATTTTTAGGGTGGACGGACAAGTAACACGTCAGCTAAATGCGCAGCGCAACGGGTGCACCAAGGTCAGTTGCGTCGAAATTCAGAATATCGACGTACACTTCCTCACTAGCAAGATATCCAATCGAGTCACATATTTTTGCAAACCCAGTTTGCAGTTTTCCATCACCTATGCTACAAAGTAGGATATCTTTATGTAGCTTTTTTCGAAAGAGAAATACAATAAAAAAACTGCTCCAGAACTTTTATCGTGCCGAAGTTACCAGAAAAAGAGTGACTGAATGTAGGATAAAGTGAAGTGAATGGCTGCATTTCACAAAGAATGCACCTCCAAAGCTCGACGTAAAGGTACTACCGGGAAGTGGTGGTCAGCCTTCAGTGCTTCATTAAAGATTCTGTGGGCTACAATGACTTGAACTTCGTCCCAGTGGATTCGAACCCGAAACTCATACTTATGTATGAACCAACTGAGGTGGTAGACACATCGGTTTACCTAAATAGCTGTATCAGTCCCGTCGTCGAGCCAGAGATGATATTTCAATCCGGATTGGAAAGGATAGGAAAGTGTGCCACCAGTCGGACATATGTAGCATTGTAATATGGGTAAGAAAACTGGCCGCCTAGAACGTTAAAATCTTTTTCAGTGTTTGAAAGTCGGTGTCTTCAGGGCATTGTTCGAGTCCGGTGAGAACAGCGGATCAGTGATGTTGAAATAAGTCGAACAGTTTCCGGAAGAAATAACTTGCCCAAATTATCAGGCGCCACAGGTTGCGTTGGCTTGGTCATGTGCTTCGCATTCCAGTCAAACAACTTCCTCGGAGAGCTATGCTTGCCATGGGAGGTCAAGCAATGACTTGGCAGTGAAATATCGAATTCAAGCACACCATTGCCGTCTCCAGGGTTTAGTCTCGTGTCGGAATGGTCCCCTTCTACGGGTTCACTGTTGTAAGCGACTATAGTGTTCCTCCCGAAAAGTGGGTGACCATCAAAAAACGCTTACAATTGCGGGTCCCACGGATTTACGTCTAAATGACTAGCGTCATTAATGTTTCCATCCAATTCTACCAGATATGACAAGGTAGATGTGAAAACAATTCTTTTTTGGATCTTTAAGTAATCAGTCTGAGGCATTTCTCTTTTAAGGACCTTTGAACAACTGGTGCTGTTCGGTAACAAGCGGATTTCACGAAACTAGACTCCTTTAGAAAAGCCTCGGTAGGTGATGGGGGCGTTCTTTGGAACACGTTCCCCAAACAAGACTTGCGTTACGCTCAGTATGAAAAGTTTTATTGCTTTGATCCACATTGTTTATAATAACAGACAGAAACGAATTGATTCGTCTGTTTCTCCAACTCATCACGTCGGAGGATACTTTGGTCGTTTTATGATTAGACCGTAAAACTTGCAACGGGATTTTTGAAACCTACGTATTCCATCTGGCCTTCTAATTTTGCTGCCTTTTCCTGCAGAACTGTTACAGGAATTGCAACATTTTTGGCATAGGCCTGAAAACATTACTTATTTATTAGTCCCACGTAATGCCAAAACTTTTGTATCCTGTCGAGGCAAACCTTTCCTAAGGTACATGATGGCACTCTTTCTGGAATTCCCTGTGAACTAGCGACTGCACTGTACTGTTAAATGGAATAAGGAGTTAATATTGCAATCGAAAACGGCTTGTCATCCGAAGCGAGAACAAAACTCTTGAGGAGTTTAATTTAATCTCGCGCACGTGTGACAGATGACTGGGATGAGGACGGTGCCGATTGTTTCATTCAAAACGGTCAGCGTTCCGTCGGAAGGACCACTATCACCATCTTTGAGAGCATAGCATCAATGCACAACACTGATGCTTCGTTGCATACAACCATGATTTATTTGAAAGCCTTATTGATGAGAAAAAATAAAAGTGGATCGGAAGGTAATTAGAGCTAGCCCATCACATTCACTCCTCCAGACACTCATTCAGGCAATCTGGATAGAAACTGACAACACGAACGCCATTGACATTCATCAACAGTCACATCTAACAGCGTTCCCATCCACACACACAGATGATCACGTAGAGTACCTATCCTGGAAGGCGACTCGCACTGACAGTACCCAGACGTTTCATAATCTCCATCATAACTCTCTGCCAGATCGAACGTTGACCATCTCTCTACACGCGCCACTCTGAGATGGGCATGGAAAACAGAACTCCCTCCGGCAAACGATGATGCAACATAGCCTAACTACCGCATATTCTGGCGCTGAACATATCCCCCTGGACAACGGATTTTTAATAGTATCGTTGCACACACGCTGACACAAGCCTACAGCGAATACGCGAAGAAATTTCAATTCCACCACTCTATGATGCTGTTTCTCGGGAGTACAGCAAAACAACCCCATTGTAGGCTGATACACGTCCCTGGAGATTCAACATGCCGGCTTGCCCCCATTGGTGTCGCAAATTGGCAAACGCTATCCACGCCTTGGAGATCTGTGCACGGACCTCATCTGTCACATTACAGTCGGAACTACTACAACTTTCGATATACGCAAAACGCTCCAGCAAACGCTCGAGTACCTCTCCCCGGATTATGAGTGGTGTGTGCAGCGACTGCAAGTCCAGAAGCATGACTTTGTGAGTGCAAAGCCGAAGGACGGCATGACTTCGGTCAGTTCATCCAAAAACACCTGCGTCATCTCCTCTCCGAAGACGAGAACGATGTGGTCTGCATATTCCAGATCGACAAGGCTTTTTCAGCAGCTAGTTGAACACCAGAGTTATGAAGCCCGCCCAGCGTTCGTTGCATTGTCTCGTCCATCACCAAACTGAAAAGGAATGGAGAGAGTGGGCACCACTTTGTGTACGGAAGCTTATATTCACAAACTTCTGGGGCATTTCGTGCTGGGAAAACATTCCATGGAGAACACAGCGGTCAATCGAGTCAAATGCGCCATGGAAATCCAGGAATATCAAAATTGTTTGTGCGTGTGGCGCTGTTATAGCACCTGATAGGGTGTGCAGATTCGGCCAACACAATTACCAGGTCATAATCTCGTTTACTGCTCACGAGTTGGTGTTTCACGTGCCATCATAAAGCGATGAAGGATAAGTGACGCCGATAGTCTCCTTACGACCGAAATCAAGCTGATTCTCCTGTGATTACCGCATTCACCACGAGCTACTTTTTGAGAATGAGCACCATCACTGATTCTTCCTAGTTGTTGGAGATATCATTGTTTTTTAAGACACAGGCAAACAGATCAGAGGAGGACCTTACCTCCATCTTTGAACAACGCGGGTCGGAGGTCATCTGGACCATGGGCTCGGTGAGAGAGAATACAGCCTAGACCTCCAAGGCCATAGAAGCTTCCAGATACACCGTCCGCTTTTCTACTTCAGCTGTACTATCCAAGTGAGAGGCATCGAGTGGACAACATAATTTCTATTCAAAGTATTTGGCCCATGGTTCTTTTCTGTTCAATATGGTCACGTCAATTTGCTCCGTGATGGTTTCACCCATAGGTGGTTTCCGGGGGCTGCTACATGGATCAGGTGAAATAATTTTCGGGCATAGCAGAAGTTCTGGGCTTCTTCCATTTTCCTAGTATCCGAGTACACTAGACCTAACGGTCGGCACGTACGCTCACTTTCACTTGACGTCTGCTAATTCGTCGGGCCAAACTACGTTCGGGGCCGGGAGAAAAATTTCGCTGAGATTCAACCAATGGCAGTCTGTTCAGTCTGATATCCAGTGCTTGATCGGACCCAGTAGCGCCGTGTTGCAGGTGAAGCACCCATAACTGTGCAAGCTGTTGGAGGACACCGTGTAGTCACACACAACTTCGGTTATTCCAGAAGTTAGAATTGCATAAAAAGTCTGCGGTCAGAATACAGCTGAAGTAATCGCTCGCCATTGTCCGTCGATATCGAGTTAAATCGAATTGGGTCTGAGATGCGCTAAGCCTGCCCACTCGTGCACTCAGATCTCTGGCAATCACAGCGATACCTGAGCTTTTGGCATAAAAACTTGTGTCATAAAACTTGCATTTGATAGCCTCATGGCTATAGTCGGTTGGGACAAAGCAGACACGACAAACAGATAACGATCAACGTCCTGCTTGTGAGGCTCCTTTACGGACGTTGCCCACGAACCACAAAGAGGCGAATATCAACGGGTATCTAGTCTAGCAAGGATCCTTCCGTTCGATCGTAGGCATCTCTACTGATGCCTGAGTCGCAGGTTCAGTTAGCATATGAAGTACCCAGAAATAAGACAAGTCTGTAAATCCGCCACGAGAAACATATATCAGTATAACACAACAGATCATGACAACATGGATTAAGCAGAGAAATGTGTAGTGAACTGCTGCTGTTGACGGATCCCACCCTTATTGCAACGGTGAACTGAGCAGTCGAGTCAGACCAACTGAACTGCTTTACTTTGTTCAGTGAACAAGTGACCGGTGTTCGATACCGAACGCGATGATGCTACAAACCCAAAATGCCGGTTTGTTTTGAACACTTATTCATGCCAATCGCAGTAGGTGGATGCCTGGCTTCTATCGCATGTGAACGGCCAGTCCTAGCTGATGTACCAAAATGAAACTAACCGTATTGGGAAGCCGGTTAAGAACGTTGGCAACTGGTAGATTTTGCATGAGATACCAAGGTACTGTGGACAATGGGATGAATATAAGTCCTCCAGAACGTTCAGATGAGGCCAGTGTCAATGGGTGAAGTAAATATTACCGGAAAATGATAATCGTTCAGCCGTAGCACCCTTTCAATACCTAGCTGCCATGTCACCAGAAAAAAACCACAAGGGCTAGGATACTGCCGGGTCCAAGCCTAGACAGGGGAAGTCGAGAGACAGAGCTCGGATTCGAACTACGGACCTTCCAGTCAGTAAATCCGTGCTCTAACTACAGACCGAAAGACTGCGGGTTGATATGATAATACACAAAAAAGCTTGAAAAATTGTCCGAGAGCTAGCCCACTGTCAGTTACCAACGCAAGTATAGATAACGACAACACAAAGTATTCACAATCCACCGAATTTTCGCTTCAAGACACCGAAAAAACAGGTGCAACGGTTTCTAACCCTTTTGATTATCGGGAATAAAAAAACGGATAATTCGATGAACAAGGACGCAAAAGAGGACGGGTAAAGTAGTGAAGGAAAAGAAACAATCAAACAACAGCTCACTTACAATATTCAACATAAGACCACCTTGCAGTGGAGGCGGAACTGACAGATTGGTATCGAGTTTTTCGACAGAGGTAGTAACCTTATTGTGTTGATCGATTGTCTTCGTGTTAACTTGTCGTGATGTTCCCGTCATAGTAGTGGACTTCTTTTGTTCGCCTAAGGGATAGGCAGAATACTATCAACGGATACACTGTCAAACATTGTTGCAAATATCTCGCGCGATAGATGAACATGAAAAAAAAACTGCAAAGTCGAACAAACAATTTTGTATGCATGGGATCATCATGGACAACAACGGACAGTTAACAAGTGCTAGTGCTTGATTATCCGTAACTGGTGATCGTCATAGTTTAGAAGAAGATGAACAAAGAAGGGTCTAGTGTGTTGTAAAGGGCCTCACATCCCTAACGAGGGCGACTGAAAGTAAGGTGAAATGAACACGTTTCTGAATCGTGTCGGAGCAAGATGACATCAGCAGGACAGAATTTGCCGACCAAGTAAATGCGCAATATAGGACACAGAGCATAAAAATTCAGCTAGGCAGTCCGGTTAGAAGGTGACACGCTCATTATCAGGACCAGTTACGTACCCTGATCCATAAAGTTTCCACGAACGAGAAGAATATCATTGGATCAGGCTAGAATGGCGCGTACGAGTTAGTTTCAAATGATGTGGATGAACTGAGGGAGCACTGAACTACAGACAGAAAGCAGACGGCATCACACAGCTGATTTACAATTTAACCTTCAACATCAAACCATGTGCTATTAAATGTAAGACTGGTCCAGAGAATAGAGGTTCCTGAGGATGTTCTCAATGATGACATTTGGCTCAAGTGCCTCAACGTCCTCTCGTTTCAAAAGCCATTGACATATGAGAGTTACGGCGCATTGGTAGTTTTTGTATCCACAGGACTCCCGTTTGAATAGCCCTCTCTCTGTCCTCATGCAGTTATTCTGGTTAGTGCGAATCAATAAGCTGTGGACCAATGAGAACATATCTGTGTCGGGAAAAGAAACAGAGGTGTTTAAAAGAGAGTGATGTGAACGGGCAATGTAATCGCCTGCGACCTGAGGTGGCTATTTTCACGGATGTTTACGCGTACCAACATTAAGCGGAGTTATAACACACTCACCAGAAAGTAATCTGACCCGCTGGGATTCGGATGAATTATGTACAGATGAGTCAGAGTCTGAATGTTGTTTTTTCGCTTTGGTCGTATTGCCCGCAGAATGAGACTGTTTTCTGATAAAAGTGCTTGGGTCCTGCCCACCACCGTGACTAGATTCGAAAAATGAGGACAATGTATGAACCGAAGTGAAAAAATGGTTGAAAAATGCCTGAATCGATAAGAAGGTTATTGTACCGAAGAAGTTCAGAAAAAATCGATAGACTTAGTGTTGGGCCAATAGTGAATGAGTCGCACACGCTTCTCGTTCAACAAATTACTCAAAAAGATAATTTAAACGTGGAAATCACTGACGATCTGAGATACAACAATACCATTAATACCCTCGACCCTATAAACTCTCAGGCTGAGCTCAACCTACGGTCGAAGTATCCGGCCTATGGTGATTACAGCCTATTAACGAGCTTGTTGATAAAAGTGATGCCCCCAGCATCATATAGCTTTGCCCAGTTGGTAAAGTACAACGAAATGGAGAGCATAGGCATGGATACAAGGAGCCGCAAGAAGGGTGTGACCGACCGTGGGCTGTTGAAGAGTTTTTTAGCGGGCTTTGTAGTACTGCATCAAGTCTTTGGTTTTAGTGCTTCAAATGAGAATCCATATGATCAAATCAGTGTGAAAAATAGCGTGGCTTTTCAGCTCGTGATGAAAAAATTCCGGCTAACGTTTTTGAGGCCGATCGAGAAGATGCTTTCGAATGAATGTTAACTAATAGGAGTTTTCAAATCCAGGCTGCACTTTTTGTGGCCTAGCTTTTTAAGAAGTCTAGGTTAGTTTGAAGCCCCTCTACTCGGAAATTTTTTGTTATAAGTATTCCGGGAGGAATGTTCTGAATACGCAGACAACAAGCTAACCGTCTCGTCATTTTTAAGCCCGACCGGGCTTGTGCGGTGACCCATCGGACGTGTTTTCACATTCAGGCCAGAGTCAGTTTCTCTCGAGCAAATCTTTGCAACTGAGCTTATCAGAAATTTGTATTAGTACTGACGAAAAATTCCAATCATCGGACTTGGCAGAATAAACGGAGTCATTGCAGGCCAGTGATTCAGAAACCAGTTGCACTTCACAAGCGAAATGTGTTAGTGCTAGGGCTCTAGACAGGAAGAACACTATTTGCCTCACCCAACGCAACAGACTCGCAACCGCCATCGCACCACAGTGATCCATTTTCTAGCAAAGGTCAACAAACGTATCATTGTTCCAAGAAGTGTGTAACAACCTTATTTCTTTCGTTTCAGAAGAGCTTGGTAAACAATTGGTAGTTTTTATTTGCGCAACGTTTCGCTTTTGACACAAAAGCTTCCTTAGGCCAAGTGAACAGGTCACCAAATTGGCCAGGTTATAAGACAGACGGGGAACCAATCAGTAAGTCCTCTTTAAACTAGATCAGTGTTGAGTGTCAATTAACGGCTCTTGTCGGCTAGTGTGGATGCCAAAATCTTGAATTGATGGGTTGGAGGGATTCCAAATTAGTTCCCATCGCTTTTCGTTCCTTAATCTTCCACTTCAGGGTGCTTCACTTAATGATTTACCTCGGATGCCGCTGTTAGATTTTCCCTGGTCTTTGTGGGGTTGTGAGTGCTCCGACAATTTAATTTGAGGGGGGTTGAGGTGAAGTGGATTTCAGATGATGATCACTCTTACTTCTGATGACCGCACGCCAACATGTGTCAGCTCGAGTGACCCAAGACCGTGCTCCACACGCTAGCCAGTTCCACGCCTTCCAATCTGTTAACGCTTGGATGCTTGGTGATTTCTACCGCCTCGGCGATCAGTGTGTGACCTTATTTCTTGTCCACTGACTGTTAGAAGGCATTCCTCAGGTAGAGCGTGAATTTGCAAACCGGAAGGTCCGTGGTTAGCAACCGACCTCTGCCTCTCGACTTCCCCTGTCTGGGCTTGGGCAACCTGCCAGTATCCAAGCCCTCGTGCTTCCTTCGAGTGGCATGGCAGTTAGGCACCGAAAGGGTGATACAAATGAACGACTTTGACTGTGAAACACGTACGCAATGTATGTTGGTCCTAGCCATATGCTTTCCCCAAAAGGAAACAGGAAAATGAAATAGAAAGTACGGAACGGCCACACACTGAAGACGAGAGACTGGCCAGTTCATTGATGAGGATTTGCTCTGAAGTAATGAGAAGTCGGAGCAGCAGCACACTAAAAGTGATGGTTTGGGTGTTAAATTCAATATCTGCCAGTGTAGTTAACCACTTGTGTCGGATAGATGGGTCGAGATGGACCAAGTGGTTAGAGCGCGAATTTACTGGCCAGAAGGTCTGTGGTTCGAACACGACCTCTGCCTCTCGACTCCCCCTGTCTAGCCTTGGATAACCTGTCAGTATCCCGGCCCTCATGCTTTCTTCGGGTAGCATGGCAGCTGGGCACCGAAAGGGTGCTACACCTAAACGACTAGCCTGCATCCACATATGTCAACCTGATTGAGTATATTACCAGTGCTTTCATATTTCGTTGCCCGAACATTGACTAGCTATCGTTCGGTTGCATATAGTTAGTATAACGTTGGACAAAAAGACCTATCTGACATGTGAAATATATGGCTTAATCAGCTTAACTTATGCAACATAGCACTGTCCAAATACCATTCCACGTACACCAACATTGCTGACATGCCACTAGCATGATTCACATAAGCCAAGCAATAGTCCATTTTGCACCTAAGTGCGCCCGAATCAGTCTGACCAGTCCGGACCTCTACTAGCAAGCAGTAAAGGTAGCCATTCAAACTGGATTGCATTCTTCTGCCAATCACAGACACCAAAATGTGCTGCACTGCCAAACTGACCTCAAACACTAATGTTTTATTCGAAAACAAGTTTCTTGTTGTCCAAGTGGTACAGATCATCTAACAATTGACAATCGTTGTCTCAGAACCATAGCTCGAGTGAGTTGGTGTCGGCGAATCCGTAACGAGGCAGTTGGAAAGTGCGTTTTCGGTTGTGTAACGGGTACTTCCACTGAAGAATGTGTCCAGCACCAGAAGCTGCGTTGGTTGAGACATGTGTTACGTATGCCGAACCATCGTTTGCAGAAGACAGTGCTGTTTTCCACGCTCAACTCAGAGTGGCGTAAACAGAGAGGTGGCCAACCCTTAACCTGGCAAAGGAGTATGAAGGAGGTCAAGAAACGCTTGGGTGCTGTCGGTGCAACTCGCCTTCCAGGATGGGGATCGCGTGATCCTCAATGTGACTGGTTGGAGACACTACAAGATATGGCTGCCAACCGATGTCAGTGGCGTTCTTGTTGTCAGTTTCTGTCCAGATTACCTGAGTGAATCTCTGGAGGTGTAGGCACCTCGGAGTGTTTGTGTTAAGCTAGCACTAAGTCCCTTCCCCGTCCACCTTTACTCTTTTCTTTACAATAAGGCTTTCAAATAAGTCATGGTCGTACGGCAGTGAAGCATCAGTGTTGAACAGTGATGATGATGATGACACCCTTATGCTGATCTGAGGTATGTCATTTGTCCGGATATAGCTAGTTCAACGGGTGCTCGAATCACAATTTAGCGAAACAGTGCAATCCATCTGGGTGTCGCAGACATAATGGAAGAACTCGGACCATTTACTGTAGAAACCACACCTGAATTTTTAGTTCCCTGCATTAGGGTTCCGTATAGTAGAGATCCCATAAACAGCTAGATGCGCTTCGGAAAATCATAGTAAATAAGGTAATGTAGCTAAATACAACACTCCAGATTTGAGTAAACAACAGAGCAGCTGTTCGTCATACAACGGATACGTCAACAAGCAAATGAAACACTTATTCAACACATTTCCTCACCTTTTATCAGAGTAAAATTTGTGAAAATACCTTAGGGAAGAGTTATGTCGCTTTCCCTCAAGATGGCTTTTCCATGAATCCATGCTAGTCATGCCCCAGGCGTCACAGAGGGAACAGAAATGGACACTATGTCAAACTTGTAGACAAAGCAGAAAAACCTACACTGGTTGTTTTAGAGCACGTTGTGAAGCTTCGTATCGCTCGTGATGTTCGATGGATATGTCATGCTCATAACTCTCCTGAACAAGGGTAGGAAAATCGACACTGATTAACAAAGGACTAACTTTTTCTGACTTGAATGTCAAATCACAAATTCCGCACCAGTACGGATCCACGTTCATTGCGGATGCGCAAAGTACTTGAGGAAGATAGATAGGCTAAAAGCAAAATAAATATTATGAGTAACCAAGGGGGGACGAATGTCAGAAACAACTTCGGCTGTCCGCTGATGTTGACCAGCAAACGGATCCCACCTATGTTGTCAGGAAACAGAGATATAAAATATTCTGGTGACGACCATTGGTTCTCTTTCCCGTCTGGATTCATTTCTGCGACTCTTTGAAAGCCCAGTTCTTCTCTATCGTGGAGGTAACCGTGGTATGACAGCTGTTACAGATAAGATAACGAGGCTCTGATGGGTTTACCAAGGTGTGATGGATTATCGGTAAGGGTCGTCTCGTCTCAAATCGGTTTCACGTGCGAGAAGACCATGGTGTCCTGGCTACTACGTACTATCAGGATGTTACCATGCGACTCATGCCGACGGGCAACCATGGAACCTTGTGAATAGCCCCCACATACATAACGGTCACAGAAACAAAGATGAGATCAGATGGGAATGCTGATTACGAACAACGGGTCGGATTCCTGGAAACTCACGAGGCGGTCACTACTGTCATATAGACGGAAAATCTTCCAACAGGAAATTTTAAGGCAAACGGACTTTCCATCTGAAACTACGTGAAAGCAAAACATTTGGGAGCACTCAGTGGGGTTCCCTAAAACACCCACTCTGAGCAACTTACAAGAGAAACCCCATCGTCGATCAGTAGGCTTGCATTTCATTCTTCATTTGAATTTGCTGTTGCGCAACCGAGCAATCGTGTTCTAAGTATCTTGTCGCTGTTGTCTCGTCTCGTTTCGCTGGCACCAACCATGGTTCTGAGAAAACGTTTGCCAAAGATGTGAAGATTTTCCAGTTTCCCTACTCGTGGGGACCATGTCTCGCAGCCATACCACAAAGCAGCCTGCACCTCAGCCTATTGTATAGGTCACTTGAAATTCGTGGATATGTCACCTCGCCGTCATAGGTCTCTGATATTAACAAATGCAACCCAAGCCTTAGAGATTCGTAAAACATGTAAGATGATTCACAACCTCGATTGTCTGCTTTCGGGTTGTAAGCGACGTGTCTGGTGAGGGCATGTCCACGAGCATGACCCTTCACTTTGTGGGTGCAAAGCGCATCCAAAAACATCTATCGACTACATGTTTCAGATTGACAAGTTTGGCAGCCATATGAACACCAGGCCTTCGTCTGTTATATCCTTATTCACAAAACTTAACAGGAATAGGCATCTTTGTGTACGGGAACTTCTGGAGGGCGTTCTGTATATTCTCGTGTTTTTGAAGGTCTGAGAATACAAGAACGTACTATATCGACAAATACCAGCCGAATGGAGCTTCTCAAGCGTCATCCCAGTTATCAAAAATGGAGCGAAAACGTCGTGTGAAAACTATCGTTGTATCACCCTGGAATCTGCCGCATCTAAGGTGCTCTCTGGCATTATTTTGCGCAGGTTGATGGATTATCGGGGGAGACAGATTCGTGAGAATCAAGCTGGGTTTCGCCCTGATCGAGGATGCATCGGCAAATTCTTGAACAGCGCCACTCCTTCTCATGTCCCACGTTGGTCGTTCTTCTTAATTTGAAAGCTGCTTTTGATTTTGCCGATTGTTAGCAATTTTGGCAGTGTCTAACGATCAAGTATCCTTTCCGAATTTCTCTCTCTTATGAGGGCACTGTATGAGAACTCCGATGGGCAAGTACGAGTATCGGGAAAATCTCGCCTGAGTCCACCAGGTCTAGTGGTGTAAGACAAGGCTGTCCTCATCCCCTTTCCTCTTCAAACTTATTATTAATATTCTGCTTGCAATTTCTCTGCCTGCCTCTGAAACCCCGGGAGTCGAAATGCTCCCGGGACATTCCCTCAGACACTAAGGATGCAGACGATATTGCTCTCCCTAGTCCAGATCCCTCCCAAATGCAAACGATTTTAAATGACCTAAATAACTCTGCCACATGGTTTGGCATGCGCTTCACACCTGCAAATTGTAAAGTGCTGCTACAAAACTGGGTGGAGTGAAACCCACACCTCGTGCCCGCAGGTGAGCCAATCGACGTGGTAGATAAATTAGTTCGCCTGGGCAGCTGTATTAGTTCCGACGGACTAGCTGGAGATGAGAGTATTTCTCGAATCGGGAAAGCCGTGGGGCTTCCGCCAACCTCCAAAACCTATGGTGCCGACGTGACGTGAGTTTGTCTGTCGAGGGAAGAGTTTACACTGCGGTGGTGCGATCAACACTGCTTTATGGATCAGGGACACGGCCTCTGCACGCAGATGTCTGTCTGACCATGGGTGCCTCTGAAGCATTGGTCAGGTCTTGTGGGAATATCGGATTAGTAATGTTGAGGTACACCAGATGGTGTTAAGAAGAAGCAACTCTCTCGCGATAGATGAATTACTCACGCTTAATAGGCTGCACTGGTTGGGATATGTGCTCCGCATACCAGAAAACCGTCTGTCTCACAGAGATTTTCCCCCAGCCCTGTGCTGCGTGGAAGCGACCGAGGTAGACAGTGCATGATCTGCCAACGAAGTACGAAAACACTAACCAGTAAACTTAGTCGGGTGGGCAACTGCCTCCTCCCTGGATGGTGACCCTAGGGCTCAAACCACCAGTGACTGATGACATTGTCAGAAATGGCCCAATCACGCAGTCAGTGACGCTCGTGCATCAAACCTATCACCTTTAATGCCTATCTACCCAACTTCCAAACAAATTCAAGATGCCTTCGCCTCTAAGGTTTGGTTGTATATCCGTTTCCCATTTTCTGGAGATCGAAACCGTAGCAGCTGGAACCAATGTGCTTATCGTATATGGTTTATAATCGTCATTCATCGTTGTCATCTGTAAGAAACGCATACATGCCGTACAGTAGTGGTAGCTGCCAGTTTCCTTCACCAATGATTTGTGGAGGTGGGATAGGGAGCTGCGTATTGGAAGCGTGAGCTGATAAATTGATGTGTAAATACAGCACTGGTAGTGGACTGTTAGGTGGAGAGATTGGGAAAAGAGTTATGAATTGAGGGCAATAGCTTGGATTCACGAGCGATATTGAGGGGCGACTGGGCTCTAAGCAATGATGTGACCTGTCTTGGGACCTCCATAAGAAAGACGGCGAGCGTGCTGCTGATGGCTTCCCTGGTTCGTTTCCACGCTTAATGTGCCTTGCAAGGAAATCGGTCAACAGGCGTACACAACAGGTGGCCGAACCGGCGCAACCTATGCAGTGTGATCAGTTCATCTATCGAGGGTGTTATTTCCCCCGAATATTCTTCGACGTAGTTCAGCATTGCTTATCCAGTGTTGCCACCAGAATCGGGCAGTGCTTCGAAGACATTGACAGTCAAACACTGTCCTCGGCGCGCAGCGGCCAGGTTTCTGATCCGCATGATAATATGAAGCGCACCGCAGCGTTGTAAACTCGACCCTTGGCGGATAAGCTGATGTCACGCCTACGCCACAGGTGACGCAGGTTCACAAAAGCCAGACTGGCCTTCCCGATCGTTTGCGAGACCACCGGGATTGATACAACTACTACCTAGGTGAAAATTCGGTAGTTCGCCCACCTGCAGCTCTCCAAAACGTCTAAGCCAGTTGCGCTTTGCAACGTGCCAGAGACTTGGCCTGGGAGTCTTCCACGATGGTGCCACAACCTAAGGTGCAGCTGGATTAGACACTGAAGAGCGTGAGAAAATATCCAAAAGCCAACGCACCACTTCAGATACCCAGCCGGGTGGGGAATGTCGGAGCTGCTGTTTGAAAGGAGATCGAGCCAAGGGACAATCCACGTTTCGACGCTAACTCGAAACCGAACATGGTTGTCCACTCGACTTGTCGGTGTTTGATGGGGTGGTTTTTCCAGAGTCAAACAAAGGCCACTGGAGTGAGACATAAAGGAAGTACAAGCTGAAACACATGTGCGAAAATCTATAATTGGTTTTAAATCGAACTTAAGCCTGGATGGTTCAACAGCGGAGGTGCTCTGGCTCGAGCCAGTTGTACCTAGCCGTTATGACGAGCTGGTTCTTGCGTAGAGTCGTATAGAATAGGCCAGATTCCCTATCAGTTGCTTCATCTTGGTTCAATTGTGGAACAGTATGAAGCGGTGCACGAGTATACGGAGTGTGGTGAAGAGTTCGATGTTGAACCTGAGAACTTAATCTCAGGAAGGTCTGCGGTTCGAACCCAACCTGGGCAACTCGGTCACTCCTGTATGGATCATTGTTGTACGGCAGCGAAGCGTCAGCGTCGAACACTGTTTTTAAGCTGTCGATGGCAGTGACGATAACTCCTGTCAAAACTATAGATTTGGCCCACCTGGCAAAATCTCATTCCTCATGCTTCCTAGGAGTGACATGGCAGTTAGGCTCCGAACGGGTGTTACAGCTGAACAACGAGTGTAGTGATCGTCTAAAACGATTCCGCATAAGCGCGCAATCCACCGCACCTAGAGTGAACGAAACAAAGCGCTAGGAGATCGCGAGCCCGCGGACGCCTAAACGGCAAATGTGTAACGGGCCATTCATGAATATAATTCAAACTAATCAGATTCCGACTCGACGCTGGATTGGCGTGCACTCTGGACCAATCACGTGCAGATCAACTGCAATGGTGAAAAACTGGCGACACTATCGCACTTACTCACGGTAATACTTGGCCGCAAAATACATTTTTCTGCAAAAAATCTGCAAGTAAAATACAAGTCTTCACACTGAAATGTGTGCTCGGACCAAAAATCACCCTAATCTACCTTCATTTTATGGCGGT